CGATGCAAATTATTTGCCGATAATAATAAGAGAGAACGGTCACTTCCCACCTTTGACTGTTCGATTGTTCATTCAGTAATCAAGGTGCGTGGAAGACTTGAGCAGTTTGACAAGCATAGTGGACATTGGATAAAAGTACAATTTCGAATTCGTGGTACATTTCATTCTAATTAGTAGTGTACTTACCACGAAGGATGATGCAACATGTCTACTAAAACGTGACCGAGGTGAGTGAACAGCGGTAGTTGTGCCACAGCTTTCTGAACCTGGTCCTCGTTCAGATTTGATGGCTCTCCCTGTTTGACTGATTCCAGTGCACCGCCACGAAGCACGGTACTTGCTGTGGCATGCACAGTGCGCAAGAGAACACTCATTGGACGAGTGAGTTGCTTCTCTTCGTGACCCATGATCATTTGTATCGCGTCCACGAGGAGCACGGGGTCCAGAGTGAGTCCGCTGCCCGGTGNNNNGCCAACGTGTATGAACCCGCTTCGTGACTAACTCGATATCGTTCAGGCTGTATTGAAATAATCAATTGAAGAAATTAGAGAATACGTACAATGGGGACTTCCGACATCTAAACTACTCAATATATAGCATAACAACCAGCTGTCGCATTATTATTATAACATTATTGTTATTATCATCATGATTATAAACTCACAACAGGATTGGCCGGATTCAAACCGGCTTCCATTAGTTTTATTCTTATTCCGGGTAGGGATGTCGTCAACTTTGACTCTGCAACATTTATCACATCTTGAACTTCGCTGTCACCGTACACCGAAGGGCGATTTGTATCCATCAGGTCTGTTGAGGATAGCACGAATTCGGAGATGGACATAATGGTGAGGTGTCGAACGACAAATCCAATGAAGTCAGCGTGATCGTCACGAAGAGATTTGGTGAATCCAGCCAAAAATAACCCAGAAAGCACTCGGATCATTACGTCTCGGTCGAGATCTGCAGGCAAAATTAGATAGTAAATAAGCACCCATGGCTGAGAGACAACACAAATTCTAGTAAGATGGAAAACATATTGGCTGAAACCCATATTTTTTTAATGAATTTTTAGGTATGACGAACCTTGGTCAACGCTTGAAGAAGCGAACGACATAAATTTATAGTAAAGCATGCATGTGCACTAAATCCATCGACATTTACGCCATCTAACGCCAAAGTGGAGTGACGATAGAGTATATGGGATAACATGGCAAAGTCGCACCTTCAGTCGGAGGACCGTCGTGTTTCATTACGGAACCTTTCACATTTTCGGTCAACATATAACAATCATCTCTCATTAGTGGCTTGAGAAGCTACTTCCCCGTGGACGGCGGTCATACACTAGAAAAACATTTGAGAGGCACGCTAGAGTGAGGGTAGCTCGCAAACCCCAAAGTATTTTAGCGATACATTACTTTGCTGACTTGTATTTCGCACCTGGTTATACAAAGGCTAAAGGCGAATCCTCGAGTAAAAAGGTTGAACGGTAATGAGGACACTATCTGGTATCACAGTCCCGTGAGGCTAGTGAATATTTGGGGAATAGCAATAAAAATTCAACGAAGTCAAACGTTTTCGCGTACACTAGATCTGCGGAATCCCGATATGGGACTGCGATTGAACCTCAATCTGGGCCAATCTCACCGCAAACTAAGGTGCATGGAATGCTACTATTTAGGATGTCTAGGAAGTGAACTAGACTTCCGGAAGAAGATAGTTATGAAAAACGAATGATGGTGAGATTCGACCAGGGGACCATAAGGACCGGTGCACGCTAGTGATGGCAACTCGAAGAAGTAAACAAAATCCCATATAAAAGGAAGGCGGGCACCAAAGGACAATCACACATTTTTCGCCGCACTCAAATGTGTGATGAACAGTAGAACAGATTAACTTCGTTGTCGTAATGACCATGGGAATCGACAACCTAAACCTCGGGACTTGGGACAGCGAATTAAATGGGGCCCCACTATTATGGCTTTGAGCTGGGTGACAAGGCTCTCTACCGCAAAAGTTGATTGGCCGTAGCGGAATTCGAACCTCGGGTCCAAAAGCCCAAAGGACTACAGTGAAATTGACATAAACGGCTTGACCATCACCGCCGGCACTCGTTGCACATAAATCAAACTAGAATATCAGACATTTCGAGAATTATTTTGGTGTTAAAATAAAAGAATCCAATGACTAGACACTGAAAAGTGACTCTGGGAAAATAGGGCAACATTTATCTCTAAATTGAAATCCACAAAACTTCGTTTTACGATCTTAAACAATCAGAGCGTTAAAGAAACAATTTATCTAGCAAAACAATTATCGAGTGCGATCAACTCACCACCATCAACACAACAAGATGAATGAAAGAGGAGACGATCAGAGCAATCGTTCACTCCATCCGTGTTGGCTGCATGAATCACAAAACGCCGAACAGCAGAAAGAAAGGCTGGCCCTTCAATATAAGAGTAAATGTTTTCGGCAGAAGAGGATGAGGTTTTCCCGGCATGAAGAAAAGCACTGGACAGATCTAGAGCACCCAAACAGATGGATTGTAAAAGTTCCCAAGCACGAGTCTTTGTGGGCAAATCGACATTGCCATCCTATTTCGAAAGGAGAAAACAAAAGTATATTCAGCTGAAAATCTATCCAGTTGGGTGAACAAGGCAGTTTGTGGTTTGACTTAACTTGATAACAATGTAATGCATTGATAAAGAGAAAATTAAGTATATCTTTCCTCAGGGATCACCCATTGAAATGCAAGCGAACGAATGATTATTCATTTATCGCGAGAGGGAGAGAGCATACGATCATCACAACTGAACAGGCACTTCGGACGTGTTGGAAATCAATAAGCAACTGCTCTACCAAACACCATTTAAAGATGGATTATTTTCGAATCTATCAGGGATTTTAATGACTAGGTAGCTAGCGGGATTCTATGTGCGCTTGGATTCACTTAGTATTTAATAGTGAACCATTGGCAGGATTCTATCAATCAAGCCACTAAAGTATGTCCAAATAATGTGGAATAATGAGGAGGTCGAACCAAGCGAACAATGAAGTTAGGGTCCGGCTTTATTGGTGACCGAAAATAGATCAGTTGGATGAAGTTTTATACCGATTTTGGGTTCATTTCTCGTCGTTAAAAGTTGAATATACGTCTAGAGGGCAGTGGAGGTGTTCAGGTTTGTCACTGTTCGTAAGGGGTCTGACCACGCAGGTTGTCTAAGATGACCTTCAAAAGCGGGTGACTGAAACATGTTCCAAAGGTTAACGGACAGACAGACAGA